GAGGGTTGCGATCCCGTTGCCGGTCCCGGTCCGGTACGGGCGCGACACTGAGGGTTGCAATCCGTTGCCGGACACGAAAAAAGACAAAAAAAAAAAGTACTATTTAAAGCAGAAGCTATCTCAAGTGATTTTCACATTACCTAATGTGATCTAAAAAAAATTTTTTTTTTTTTTCCTTTTTTTTGGTCTTTCTTCGTGACCGGCAACGGATCGCAACCCTCAGTGTCGCGCCCGTACCGGACCGGGACCGGCAACGGGATCGCAACCCTCGGTGTTGCCCCCGCTCCTCGCTCAGCCAGTGAGTGGCCGGTCTGTATGTGGGATCCGAACCCTCGGCGGGAGCGCCGCCGCGCTCCCAAGCGGCGCACTGTAGCAGTGCGCCAACCGGGCCGGCCCTAAAAATTTTTTTAATGTCAATGGCTGGGCCCCATCCATAGAGGTCCTGGGAATTGAAATGTGTTTAAACAACCTCTCCAGTTGATTTGACTACATTATCTTTGTTGAAAACTACTGCTCTAATTTAATCACCTATTTCCTTCAGAAGTACTTCTCACAGGCTGCTAAATATACTGATTTTGTTGTGCAACCATTACCACCACCTATCTCCATAACTCTTTTCATTTTATAAAACTGAAATTCTACTCATTAAACAAAAAATTCCCTCCCTGCAGCCCCTGGCAACTACCATTCTACTGTTAAATATATTATTTTGCCACAACCTTTCTCCATTCGATTTCAGTCTGGGCAGGAAAAAAGTGCTAAAACCAAGTCAAAAAAAGTGAAAATTAGGATGATAAGAGCTCTATAAAAATATCCCTAAATAATCAAATTGATTTCTTACTGCAATAATGCATAACTGTTTCAGTTTCCTTTTAGTTGAGGACAGTAAGAAACAAAATCAAACCCTATGAAAAAAGCAAAACCAGGTGATGATATTCAGTGCATCATTTCCTTCTATATAGGACCAATGCACTGGAGCAGTACATTTAGAGATCAAGTGTGTAAATGGGACTGCAAACTCAATAGTCTTGCCCTGCAAAGATGAGAACTTTGGCCTACTTGGATGCAGTGTACATGAAGAAATATGTGATAGTTTATTAAAAACAATCTGCTAGGGTACAACTAGAGTTGAGAGCATTGGCAGTTAACTCAAAGTCAGCAGCCTAGAGCCACTCTCAGGTAGTAAACAAAGTCCTACTGGTTTAAAAATCTTATTCTCAGTTAGCAACTGGCACTGTGGCATCTCATTTTCTTCATCTTTTACTTAAAGAACTCAGACTAGAATTGAAATTACAGTTTCTTAAAATATGTTGTTTCAGTGGAATCTAATCATTTTTAAATAAAAAACAAACTTTTAGCATGGCATTTTAATGTTCTTGATTCTTAAAAAATTCCAGTGTTTAAACTAAAAAAAAAAAAAGGCCTCTTAGTAACAGCATAACTTGAATTTAGTTACTAAAAACTTCTCATTTTCTCCTAAAATACTTATTAGCCATAGATGAGCTAGTAAATATGATACATTCTTAAGAAATCAACATCCACATTTGCAACTAATGGTTATTGATTTTAAAAGGGATTAGTTGTACCTGCCAATAAATAAATCAATAAGGGATAAAAAATACTTTTCAGCAATAGATATATAAATGCAGTGACAAAATGAGGTTCCCCAAAATTAGATTATAATCAAATAAAACTACAAAGTTAGAGGACCAATATTCTCATCTTGAGTTCTTTGACAAAATCAGGAACTATGATTCAAATACAACAATATTTATCCATGTGATAACTCAAGGAAGAAAAATCTTTAGTATCATTGTGATTGTGCTAAACCTTTCAAACATAAGTTACCATAAAGTTTTTCCCATTTAATCTGAATATTACTGTAATAATTCAGTTTTGATTCAAATGAAATACAAACCAAGATCAGATCAGTCCCAAAGAGAGAAAAGAATACAAAATGACAGAGTACAGAGTTAACGGAATTTTCTACATAGCCAGTTAGGGCAGTGCTGAAACTGTGCTGTAACCACCCCAGGAAGAGAATTTTACCTGGGCTGCTGGAGGAAAGCTATGGCACGAAAGCCAATATCCTTTCTATAAACTGCTCCCTCAAACTTTATAGTAGCTAGTCCTTTCTTGGCTTCGTCAAGGGCTGACAGGAAATCTTCCCGGATGGCTGTTACGGTAAGGACTCTACCCCCGTTGGTCACTACTTTGCCATCTTTGAGGGCAGTACCTGCATGGAACACCTCCAGTCCTAAAGCTTGAGCCTCAGGAAACCCTATAAGACAGCATATTTGACATGTGATTTGAAATAATATTTCACATTGTGAAGTGATTTACAATTTCCACAAGTTTAAAAGAAAAATCTTTATCATTTAAATGAATCTTCACAAGAATCCTATCAGGCAGAAATTAATGCAATATAATAGTAAATAGACCCTTTCTCCTAAGAACAGTCTGTTCTGTTTCGGAGTGACAGCTGTATTCCTAAAATCTTGTGTTATCATAAATCTCATTTTAAAAACAATTGTTTCAGTAGGAGGAGGGGAAAAAAGCTTTTTATAAGCTCTCAGATTTAAAAAAAAAACAACTAACCATTCCTATATCTCCAGTTTGTCTTTTTCTTTTTCCTCCTGCATTTCTCTTTTTGGCATCCTATGTTTTTACAGCACAGAGCCATTCAGTCATAGATACCCAACACTTGCCAGTATTGGTAATACCCAATATCTGCCAGTATTGGTAATATCCAATATTGCTTTGTTGGAAGTGGCTATTATACTTGTTGCTTCAATCTTAGGGAAATTTCAAGAAGAAGGAATACTGATTCTATCCCATCTCTCTTTGTCCATTTTCAAAAGCAATCAATTCCTAACTACCCACTTGTCACGTATGGGATTCATAGGACTTATTGTCTGGGCAAGACAGTAAATAGGGTGTTTGAATCACAGTATTGGGGTACCGAGAGACGCTAAACGACAACCTGCTAGGGGTCACAGAGGTCTGCCTTGGGACTTATGACACTGGAACTTACTTAGCATTTTTATTTATTTATTTTTATCCTAAAGATGACTGGTAAGGGGATCTCAACCACTGACCTGGTGTTGTCAGCACCATGCTCTCCCAAGTGAGCAAACTGGCCATCCCTATATAGGGATCTGAATCCTTGGCTCTGGGATTATCAGCACCACACTCTCCCAAGTGAGCCACAGGCCAGCCCTTTTAGCATTTTTACTTTTTTATTTTTATTTATTTATTTATTTATTTTTTGTCCTTTTTGAGACCGGCCGCACTACGCTCAGCCAGTGAGCGCTGCGAGCACACCGGTCATCTCCATATAGGATCCGAACCCACGGTGGGAATGCCCCAGCGTGGCACTCTCCCGAGTGCGCCACGGGCTCTGCCCCCTTTTAGCATTTTTAAACACTGCTTGATTTAACATCATTAACCAGATGTCTCATTTCTTGTAAAGAGAAAGGGAGAAGCCTACACTCTTGAAACAGTTTGAATCCTGCCATCCAAGTCACGATGGGGTGCACTATAAATTAGAGGTGGGTGGGTCAAACCACAAAGGTTGTATGCATTTGTGATCATTCAGAGACATGCCTCTAAAATGTATCTTATTGATGTGGTTTACACTAACGTTCCTCTGACTGTCATGGAGTCCCATTATCACCCTGGCTCTGGGAGGGTGGAAGAGAAAAACTGCACTGGGCGATATTCTGGAAATTTGGTTAGGCTACTTATGTCTTCCTTGTACAGGAAGGGAAATGGATGGCAATTCTTTAAATACAGTAATTTTGGATATTTGAACACATATCCAACAAGCAACATGGTTATGTTAAGAATCTCTGAAAGGTTTCTGATGGTTTACACCTTTAATAGGAGCAGGCATTAGCATGGGAGGGAGGCCTGCTGTGGCACAGGTCACTTGTCACATTATAATCAACCTCTTGTTCCCCAATGCTCACCTGTTATCTCCACTCCCTTGGTGTAGTCTCCAGGGTAACCTTTACTTGCCATGACAATAGTTATGGCAGTGTGGTTTTCTAGCCAAATGGGCAGAGATGTGCAGAGCAGGCCACCTAAAGTGGACTGAATCACTTCATAAAGATCACTTTTAAGAAGTGGAAGGATTACCTGAAAAAACCATAATCAATATAGCAACTGAGATAAATTTTAGTTTTCCTTAGACATTTTAATCTGAGGTACTAGTAGAACTTGTATGTAATTCAAGGCTGATAAATCCTGAGATTAAAACAACATACGTCTTGTACAAAGTAATACTTTATTATCTGTAATTATCGTTACCCACTTGGCACTCTGGATCACCAAAACGGCAGTTAAACTCCAGAACTTTTGGACCATCCTTGGTCAGCATTATGCCAGCATAGAGAATACCTTCATTAAAAAAGGAAAAAAAAAGAGAGAGAAAGGAAATCTATAATGAAGACATTGTACTTTGAGTATAAAATCTAGAACATAAACTTCTAATATTCAAAGTCTTAGAATAATCAAAAATGTCACAACAGTAGTCAAATAAAACGTGGTTAAAAAAAAGAGAAAAAAATGGAAGTTTTATCAAAAGTGGAAAGTTACTCCACAATAATGTCAATGTGCTCACCTGTGTATGGAGTACCCTCCTGCTGCATGCCATCTACTGTCCTTTGAAGAATAGTATTTTTAATTTTTAGTAACAAATCCTTAGAAACCTAGAAAACATGCAAAAAAACTTAAATGTAATTGGTAATTTAAAAAATCATTTTGTAAGTAGTATCACATGGGACAATGAAAGGGGATGATGAGAACTACCTGAGACAGGCTGAGCACTTCAAGTTCATACAATTTTAAAATCCTCACCATGACTCCATCTAGGTATTTTAGCCCTATTTTTATAGAATAGGAAAGAAGAGCTCTAAAAGGTAAAATATATTCCACAGTCAAGGACATATTGCTAACAAATGGCAGTGCCTACTTTTTATTTGACTACAGTGCCTGCCTACACACACACACACACACACACACCCCATTATTATTGTCACTATTTTTACTACTCCTTAATGCCTCACTAAACACATTAAGATTTTAATTTTTAAGTAATAAATGCTCTGAGACTGGTAAATTATCACAAGCAAAGGCAGGATTATGTGTTTATTGTCAAATGAAAGATCAGTGCCTACCACCATTTTACAACTAAGTTGACTGTTAAATGACCTCTCATTACTAAACCTACAGATTTTCAAAAATATACACCCTTAAAGAAACTCACCAAAAATAGTTTCCTGAAACATAGTAATAAAGATGAAAAAAGTCCTGTGCCACCCTGAGGCACCTTTGTATCTCTCCAGTATATTCTATGCTTACCTCATAAGCCTATATACTTATGAATCTGAGTTCACAAATTGAACTGTAAAAATTACACCCAGAGATAGTAGCTATACTAAAATCACTACTAATAAATGGTAGTTTTAATACTTAGAAAGTCTAAAAAAAATAAAGTTTGATTTATTTTTAATAATTTAATCAAGAAAAGTATGTAAAATGTACTATATTAGCACAAAAGATTGTGAATATCATCAATGAGAAGAATGAGTGAATTTCTGGAGTGCTAATCTACTTATAATATACTCAACAATGCAGACTTCTTATAAAATACTGTGCAGAAATTGTTGGAAACATACTTTATCAATCCATATGAAGTAGAAAGACCAGAAGAATAAATTACAGTCTGACTTGGTTCTCAATTCATCACATACACACAGAGCACTTATGTGCTGGGCCCTGGATTTCCAAAGATGAATAAAAGATAATTCTAGAACTGTAACAGGCTCCCATGGGTTAAAAATTGGGTGTAGAGAGGATAGGATAGGATGATCTATTCAATACATACTAGACTTTACATTGGCTTAGTTCTTCAAAAGTTTTTAGAAAAGGTTAGTTTTACCAGAAGACATACTTTTCATTAATAGAACAATCAAGTTGCTAATTAGTAACATAATTTACAAAAACAAACAAAAAACCAAAATGAAACAGAAAAGCATCACCTATGACCTCTTTGAGAAGATCAAACAATTACCACCAAACCTTAGCACAACCTTTGGGAAGTACCTGAGGTGCTGGACAACAGGCTCCCATTCCCCCTGTGTTGGGGCCACAGTCTCCCTCCAGTAATCGCTTATGGTCCTGTGCTGGGGGCATGGGGGCCACAGTCCTCCCATCAGTGAAACACAGACACTATAGAGAAAACAAAATAGTCCTCTTAGGTTAAATACCAAAAAGTAAAATAATTTAATAAGGCAAATTACATATACCTTAACTCTTCTTAGTAGAAAAGCTTTCTTTTTTGAAGAAAAATGAATTGAAACATAAATTACCCCTAACTACATATATTAAAATTCAGAAAATCTTGTGTACTTAACTTCTGAAGGATTTATAATTTTTGAAGTAGGTGAGGGAATAAACAAGCTACTTTAAAGTAAAATATTTCAACCTTACCCCACTTTAAGCTTCCAGGCATTAAAACTTTATTTAAGGTGACTTTATTCCACTATTTATTGTATAATAAACTGTATGTGAAAGAAAAAGCAAGAATGTTTCAATTAATCCAGAACCTCAATAACGTGTGATATAAGTCCAAGTGCCTCCACATACACTGGGGATAATTAAAAGAGAAGGAATTCTTTTTTCATTTACATCTGAAATACTAAATGTATACAAATTCCTTTGTAACTGCTGGGTTTTTAGATGAAGCAATCAGAGTAAATCAAGTCTTTTCTGGGGTGCATAGGCCAGATAACAGCTTCTCATACTCTATAAAAACCAAAATGATGAATATACATACAGACACCTCTTCTCCTTCAAGAAGTTCTTCAATGACAATTGTTTCTCCAGCTGCTCCAAAAGCTTTCTCCTAATTGTAAGTTTTAAAAACAGGATTGGTAAATTTTAAGCTTTTTAATATTAGTTGACTTTTGCCACTGTCTACCATTTGTATTATGAACCAATATGTATTATAATTTCTCTTTCCCTTTCTGAAAGACTCCTATTTTTTTTTTTCCTTTTTGTCTTTTTTACTGACCGGTAACGGGATCGCAACCCTCGGTGTTGCGCCTGCACCGCGCTCAGCCAGTGAGCGGGAACCGGTCTCCACATGGGATCCGAACCCTGGGCGGGAGCGCCACCACGCTCCCAAGCGGCGCACTCTCCAGTGCACCACCGGGCAGGCCCGAAAGACTCCTATTTTTAATGTGGCAATGACTTAGAGCTAATCCTGATACAGATGAAATGAACACATTACTAATACTCTTCTGAGGATTTGGCTTTCTGGTTTCAAATAAGGTAAAGGAAAAACAGATGTTTTCATTGTCAGCATTTAATCCTTATTCCTGATTACAATTATATATGTTTGCCTATATTATAATAAAGCGTGCCTGGGAAAGTAGATTTCTATAAAGGGGAAAAACCACACAACCAAGATGGATCATGAAAGAAAAACAAAGTGTATTCATTCATTGGTTCACTTCTTTTAGATTTCAGACACATGGGACAAATACTTTTGTTCTCATGGATGGTTTGAGATTTTATTTATATGTTCTATAGTTTGAAGATTTTCTGCCTTTCCATAGTAGACAACAGAGGAATTTAGAACTTACTTCAAAAGAATAGAATCAATGGGCCGGCCGGTGGCGCACTGCTACAGTGCGCCGCTTGGGAGCATGGCGGCGCTCTCGCCGAGGGTTCGGATCCCACATACAGACCGGTTCCCGCTCACTGGCTGAGTGAGGTGCGGGCGCAGCACCGAGGTTTGCGATCCCATTGCCGGTCCCGGTCCGGTACGGGCGCGACACTGAGGGTTGCGATCCGTTGCCGGAGACAAAAAGGAAAAAAAAAAAAAAAAAAAAAGAAT